AGCCTTTGCAATCGGTAGAGTTAAAGTTTCTGTCCATGAAGACAGCACTCCTGGTTGCATTGGCCTCCATCAAGAGGGTGGGGGACCTGCACGCATTCTCCGTTGACGAAGCGTGCCTGGAGTTCGGGCCGGCTTACTCTCACTTGATCCTGAGACCCCGGCCTGGATATGTGCCCAAGGTTCCCACCACTCCCTTCCGGGACCAGGTGGTGAACCTGCAAGCGCTGCCCCCGGAGGAGGCAGACCCAGCCTTGGCACTGCTCTGTCCGGTACGTGCTCTCCGCACCTATGTCGACAGAACGCAGTGTTTCAGGACCTCAGACCAGCTCTTTGTCTGTTATGGAGGGAGCCAGAAGGGAAGGGCTCTCTCAAAGCAACGGCTGTCCCACTGGATAGTGGATGCCATTGCTTTGTCTTACCAGCAGCAAGGCCGTCCGTGCCCACTTGGTGTGACGGCCCATTCCACTCGGAGTGTGGCCTCCTCTTGGGCTCTAGCGCACGGTGCCTCGCTAACAGACATCTGCAGAGCTGCAGGCTGGGCGACACCCAACACCTTCGCAAGATTCTATAATCTGCGAATTGATCCAGTGTCCTCTCACGTACTCGTTCCGGCCGGTACTGGACCCGCTAAGGTGTCTTCACTTGCTCGCCACTCCACTCCCCGGACTGGATAAGTGCGATATTTCCTCAGTTCTTCCATTGAAGTCTTGAGTCCTCCAGCACCGACGATGCGGGCACCACTGCTGTAGCTCTGGATGCTGGCTAGGTGCCTCCATGCGTACGGTTCCCCGTCTCATGTGTATTATCCACTGTAAGCCTCTCTGAGCATGTGTCTTCCCTTGGCAAGCCATCTGCCAACCCTGGAGTTGAAATTTTAACAGCCACCTAAAGTTGGTGCTCCAGTGTTTCCATATGTGTTCCTATATGGCCATATGAGTATTCTTAAGTCCTCCTTTCGGTAGGCATCTGGTAGCATGTCCCTCCCGGGATATGTTTCCCAGTGTACCTTGGTAATCCTGTGTCAAAGTAGGATCCCTAAAAAAAAAAAAAAAAAAAAAAAAAAAAAAAAAGGGGGGTTCAGATTTTCGCAGGGCACTGGAAGACAGCTTGAAGATGGCGTGATGGCACAGACCCCCAATCTCCGTCACTTCTGACGTAACTCGAAGTGACTACGAAAGGGAACGTCTCGGTTACGTATGTAACCCCTGAGTAGGGAACGGAGACGTTACGTCTCCCTGCCACTTCTGCTGTATCGCTGGGTAGACGCCGAGTTCAGTCTTGGCTCCTCAGCGAAGACATACTGCGGTTGCGTTCACTTCCTCCTTTTATACTCACGGAGTAGGGCGGAGTACGCTATGCAAATTTCCGCAGCCCCAAGGCATTGCATGCCATTGGCTCGTTTTTAAATACTCGAAGAGGATTGGCTTTCTATGCGAAACCCCCAATCTCCGTCACTTCTGACGTAACGTCTCCGTTCCCTACTCAGGGAACGAGGGTTACATACGTAACCGAGACGTTTTCCTTACTTGTTGGATGTTACAGTTTATGCACTCAAGGGCCAGTAGCTCATCTCAGCATATTTATAATTCAAGCTATAGTTTTGCCAGCAAGATGTGCTCTATTCCATCCATTGGTCCAATCCATCATTTATGAAACTTCTTATCATTGGTTGCAGAACAGCTGAGGAATGCTCAGAACTTAAAGTCTGCATTTATGAGGGCCTTTATACGGATGATCATCTCATTGTAGAGCTAAATTAAGCATGGCGGTGGCTCTGTGGTGGGGTTGCTTTGCATCCTCTAGCACTGGAAACCTGCAGTGTGTGAAGGCGAATATATTCACTGACTTGAACCCTTAGAAAATCTCTGGTGGGATTTGAAGAAGGCGTTTAAAGCATGCAAACACAAGAATATTACTGAATTGGAGGCCATTGCTCATGAGGAATGAGCTAAGATTCCTCAGAAACGCTGGCAGAAGCTGGTGTCTGGTTAAACATCTCATTTGCAGCAGGTCATAACAGCAAAAGGGTGTTCTACTAAGAACTAAAGATGCTTGACATTAAAGTCATTCGAGTCATTTCGTTAATTTCGTTCGTTGAATGAACCAAATGACTCGAAAAAATAATGCTCAATAATGACATTTTGAATGCAACTAGTCTATGACATTATTTACGATGTCTTTGTTATGACATCTTGACATAAACCATAACATCATAACCTGTCAGTGTCTTTGTCATGACAACTTGACATAAAATTAAGTTCTGTCATGTGGTTGGTTTTGACATTGGCTGTCATGAGGCCATTATAACTGTGTCATGAATATTTTTCGTGACCTCAACTGCAGTGGTACTAATTGAATTTGTCATTAAAATGTTATAATGGCCTAGTGAGAGCCAATGTCAAAACCAACCACCTGACAGTTTAATGTAATGTTAACCCATAAAGCTAGGTAGTTTCTTAAGTTTAATACTTAATCTGCTATGTCATGTTTATGACAGGTTGTGTTGTCTTAGTAATGTCAAGTTGTCAAGACAAAGATACTGACAGGTTATGATGTATTGGTTAATGTCAAGCTGTCATAACAGAGACATCTCAAACAATGTCATATTTGCATTAAAATTGTCATAACTGAGCGAACGACACTAAATGACAGTTGTCACAAACATGCAAATTTATAACATATGTCATGTCATGGTTATGAAGGTGCAATGTTAGTCTTATGCACACCCCTTCAAGTAAAGTGTTACTGCAGAAGTCATTAAAAGTGCAATTTTCAGTTGAATTTGGTTAGAGCTATTTCAATTGCTTTTGTTTGCTTTTTTTCATTGCAAACAGCTTAAAATTTTGCCAATTACCTGATTTGCAATGGGGGTTTAATCATTTCAATTACAACTGTATCTATACATGTATATAAACATAGAAAGAAAAAGAAAAAAAGAATAATGAAAGGTGTTACTTTAAATTACCTGAATTAGAAGAACACAACTAGTAAAGACTTTAGTACAGACTTTATCAGTGACCTTGACAGTCTAGGGAAATTATTTTTCATGACATACAAAGGAGTTTGTGTAGTTTTATTTTAAAGAGCGCTGCATTCTCTGACAAATATTCTAAAATCAGCATGACAGATTCGCAAATCTACCTCCAAACCTTTTGTTGTTATGTCAGAACTATTCAGGAATATTTGCTGAGCGAACTAAGAGCTCTCAAAATATACATCTTTAGAAAAAAGTGCTCTGTAAGTGTTACAAAAAGATGTTTTCTCATCTGTTTCATACACACCTGGATCACACCAATATAAATAGTGGCTGACTGAAATGTATTTTTCAACATCCAATGCTAATCTGTAGAGAACAGACAATATATTTATGGTATAAACTACTGTTTTAATATTCTATAATACACATACTGTATAATGAGTGCAGAAGGACATTTTACTGCACAATATGTGTGAAAACGTTTGATACAATTTGGAAATGGCACAGGGAGGAACTAACGCATCTGTTAACATGCCAAATGTGAATTGTTCTTAATACCAGATATGTGTACATTTTGCGATCGCCTACTCCTGTTTGAGTTGAGGTTATTCTGTTCAGAAACTGCCAATATGAAATAAACTATCTATACTATATAACTATCTATATAACATAAAAGTGCCTCTTCTCTGTATCTCTAAACCAATGTCAAAGGACTTTTACTCTCTCTGTACCTCTGCCTCTTTCTATGTTCTCTTCGATGCACATTCTTGCTCTGCTGTCTGAAAAAAGTGCTTTGCACACACTTTTCAGGGCTCCATAATAATCAGATGTTCAAAGGCTGCATGGAAACAAAAAAAGGGGGGAGGGGCTTCAAAACGGGTTGCCATAGAAACAATGTTACAGCCACCAGAACACTGGAGAGTCTTGGGATTCTGTACTTTCACTGTTCGACAGTTATTAACGTTGTCGTTTGCTCATGCCACATGATTCCCCTACAGCAGACATCCTTGTCAAGTTATGTCTGAGATGTTGGGGATTGGACTCAGTGATTGAATCGATATAAAAGATATGTGAAAGATATAAAATGCACTGCACAGTTAATTTACAATCATTCTTCAGGACCAGTATATTATAAAAATCTCAAATTTAAAGGGGGGGTTGACTGCGATTTCACTTTTTTAAATTTTAAATAGTGTGTAATGTTGCTGTTGGTGCATGAACAGTATCTGCAAAGTTGCAGCGCTGAAAGTTTTGCGCTGCAACTTTGTAAGTGTAAGCAGAGATATCGTCTTTTAAAAATCAGGAAGTATATTGCCTACAAAAAGACTCGATTGGGACTACAGCTGGGTTATGGTTCGTCACTAACCCACACATTTGCATCAACCACTCCCTCCGGAAAATGCAATAAAGGGCATGCGCATATTTCAGCAGCTCCAGCTTGTCGAGTGTGTTGTTCACGCAGCTGTCAGGTCTTCTGTGTTCGAGCTTCCCACGGATGCTGTACTTCGTCAACAATGGATACAATTTATGTTTGATTATGTTCCGGAAAATGACGATCGTAATCTAGCTCTCTGTGCTGCGCATTTTACTGAAGACAGCTTCCAGAATCTCCACGAATACAACACCGGATTCAACAAGAAACTGTTACTAAAACATGAAGCAGTTCCAACTTTAAAACCAGAGGCAGCAGTTGTTGGGCCATAACCTGTAAGTAGGCTAAGACTTAATCATTTTAAATGTATTTGCATGTATAATTCCAGACGTAGCCTTGTGTTTTATTTTTTTCAAATGGCAGCGCTGGCTTTATTGCCACTAGGCTACTAGTTATGCTATTTTGTGTCTACGACAAACGCGTACAAACACGAATTTTGTATAAGTATTAATGTTGTAAATGTATTTTTCATGTATGTTTTATGACGTTATTTTGGATTTCATCAAGATCGTAAACTTGCCAACGCTGTTTGAGTATAACATTAGTAGACTAGTTATACCGCAAATTAGTTAAAATCTCCCGGAATCCAGAGCGAGCGCGCATGCGAGACAGTGTTCCAAAGTCCAAACTTCATATCGTGCGCATGACGAGGAGAGCGAGAGAGAGACTTCTGATCTGGAAACAGGACCCCCGTTGGAGAATGTCAAAATTCTACCTCAAATCTGAGCAAGCATGTCACGAGACAGCCTCACACGGTTAACTAAAGCAGCAAGCCGGTACAGGAATATGAAACTTACTGACTGAAAAAAACCCTGAACCCCCATCTGACCGCTGCGGCTACATGCTGATGGGACATAACCACTGTTTAACTCTGAAAGAAAAAAAAAAACAGAAAAAAAAAACTTGAAGCCAAAATACGGCATGCAACAGCATTTTCTGTTTTGATCAACTAATTTTTGCTCCTCTCTGCACTTTACTGTTAAAAGACGTAAGTGTTAATAATTTGTAATATAGTCAGGAGCGACTTTCATGATTTTGTTGCTGTATTTTTACATCTATTCAAATGAAGGATTTTACAAAACATATTTATTTTATATGCTGGAATATGAAGAAATTTATATTAACAGAAGAAGGGCTGTCTTTATTTCATTAAAATATGGTGGAATGTGCAGAAAAGAGGTTTAAATGTTCAACAATTTTCTTCTAGTCTGAGACTGTTGCATTTAATTTAATTTTTGCTCGATGCAATGTGCATAAAGTTAAAATATTGAAAGAAATAAAACAAGTTTTAAAAAAGAAAATGTTTAATTTGATTACATTTAAGATGGAATATGCAGAAAGAATACGATTAGGCTGAAAGGTCTATGCTTTAGCGTATTCAGGTCGTGCATCATGTTTTTGAAAAGTAACTTAGTAAAGTAACTAGTAAAGTAACTAATTACTTTTGAAAATAAGTAATCAGTAAAGTAATTGGATTACTTTCTTGGAGAAGTAATCAGTAATCAGTAACTAATTACTATTTCCAAGTAACTTGACCAACACTGGTCAGTTGCTATTGTTGCCAGTCAGATGCCATTGTGTAAAACAAACGTGTATAAAGTTAAAAAATGTAGCATATTATCATTCCTCATTGAGGTTCTGTTTGACTCTCTTCATCGCGGCTTTCTCGGTCTGATTCTGCCTCAAACTGATACTGCAGTTCGACACATATTTACATCTGGACCGGAGCTCATGACATCGCCCGTAAAGGTAATGGGCGTTAACTTTCCGGACAACGTGAGGAACAGTTTAGCCAATCACAACACACAGGGCCAAACGAACCAATCTGAGCCCACTGCCCATTTCTGAGGGAGTGGTTTCATAGACTCAGGAAGTCAACCGCTCGTTCGAGGACAGAGGAGAGCGAGGCTGACAATAAAGGTGAAGTTTATGAAAAATACGACTTTTTAAAAAAGAAAAACCACGAATACATGTTATATTGCACCCCATAAACACAATCATGCCAAGAAAAAAAGCAGTCAACCCCCCTTTAAGTTGACTGAATTTAGTTCTTGAAGATTGATTTTTTTTTTTTAGAACATGGTCAAATTCATCAATTTCTCAAGTATTACATAGTCACTCTGCAGGAACTACAAGTAATTTGCGCGCACACACACACACACCCACATATATATATATATACAAGCCAGTTATTTACGTCTCCAAGACACTTTAAGAAACCTAACTTCCAGTGCTACCTGGAAAATTATGTGCAAGTGTACGACAAAAGCTGTTTTAAACACAAAGGGTGGTCACAGTAACTATTGATCGTATTTAGCTAATAAAAGTTAATTGATAAATAAAATCTATTTATGACATTATTTTTGAAAGCATCCTCCCTTTACAGCATTTTTACAAGTGCTTAAAACTTGTCACAGTACTGTAGCTGTGTTGGCAGGTTTCTTCAAGCGTCTTGGAGATGTTGCTGCAGTTCTTCTGGATTTAGTCTCTCATTTTTTATTGAATTTTTTCTCAGTTTTTTTTTTTCTTTCATGTAATCCCAGAAGGACTTGATTATGGTGAGATCAGATACTAACATGCCTAAGACTTTTGCATGGTATATATATATATATACCTATATATATATATATATATATATATATATATATATATATATTAGAGCTGCACAATTAATCATTAAAAGATCGCAATCTTCGAATGAAAATTGCGAAAAATTTGCGGTCGCAATCAATCGCAAAAACAACTTGTACGACAGAACAACTTCACAAACAGTCTTTTTGACCACACAGTAGTGTTATTTCTAGTATACATATTCATATTATCACAGAAGAACTGATATAAAAGTATAAAGTTAAGTTCAGATATAAACTCTGATGTTTACGGAAGCAATCACAATAGAATAAATCACCTTTAGAAAGTAACATGGTGCTTTGAATAAAATTTGTATCGTTACATCGTTACACCACTAGGTAGCGACAAGGGACAAAAAAATGTCATAGAATCATTTATTTAAGAGATTCATTAAAAATGAAGTTTTTTTTTTTCAACTTTAAAATAATGGTCCTGGGGCCTGATGTATAAACATTGGCATTTCAATGCCTTTTTTTGTGCGTACACAACGTTTATACATCAATTTTCAGCCTGTTCTCACGTAAATGCGCCTCTATAACACGCATCGTGTATTGTCATGTAATTTATACGCGAAAATGAGTTTTTGCGTGAATATGAGATGCAGTTTTTCACGTGCATTTGATACGCAGTTCATTTGCGTGTAATAAACACCACTAATTCTACCCAAACGTATAATACACACGCACCCCACCCTACACCTAACCTACCCTAACCAACCAATGCATATCATATGCACATAAAAACTCACTTTAGAGTATAAATTACACGACAATACACGTGCGTGCTATAAAGACGCATTTAGTGTGATCGGACTGAAATTTTTCACACAAATATGCTGTGTTTTAATGTTTTAACTACAGCGAGGATAATTCTGCTTTGAATTGTGTTCTAAATAGCAGAACTAACTAAATGTTTTCACAGGAATAATGATGCACAGTTAATCCGTAAAATAAGGTCTATCTGTTTACATTAAAACTTCTCTGAAAACTTTCACTGAAATGTATTTTAAACAATATTGATTTATTTATTGTAAAACAAGGCAAGGATACTGAATGATTTTTAGTATGTACGGCACATAGTCCTTATCTAATATTTCCCTAATGTCTTGTGTTAAACATGGTATCACATGGATGGGAATATGAATGGAATGATGTGCAGATGCTGTTATGCATAGTAACGAGGTGAAGTAAGCTCAATGTATGGTTATTTCAAGGAGACAGGGAGGAGATGCATGTACGCACAATCTTCCGCTGACTGGGTTTCAGTGGTGGAATGTAACCAAGTACAAAATAATACTTTGTTACTTTACATAAGTACATTTTTCATGTATCTTTACTGTACTTAAGTAGAATAAATAGTGCATACTTTTTACTTTTACTTCGTTACATTTTGCAGCAATTATTATACTTTCTACTCCACTACATTTCTACAACTTCTGTTACATTTTCATTACATTTTCTGATCAGTTTTTCCCCTGCCAAAACGTAATCTGACGTTGCACTTTTGTCTCACCAGTGATGTTTGGTTGCCATATAGATATATCAACCCAGTCACACTTAATGCGTCTCACACATAGTGCGTTTATTGTGCAATTTATGTGCGAAAATTTGTTTTTACGTGCATGGGAAACACACCGTGTGTAATACATTTGGTTAGGATTATGGCAAGCCAAGAGGTTCAGAATTACACCATAAATTAATTGCGTTTACTGCCAAACATAGTTATTAACATACCGGTATAGTAAGGATAAGCATGATGTGTATATTGCCCAATTGCAAGCTTGTTTCAGAAATGGTGATAAACATTTTTTTTTCCATCATTATTAAACATCATTTTAGGAGTATTAGGATGAATGGGTTAGAATTAAATATTTTATTAATCATTAGAAAATAGACATTAAGAGAATAAATTGTCATGCAAGTACTTTTACTTTTAATACTTAAAGTACAGGTAAAATCAGGTACTTTTTACTTAAGTCTGGTTGTCATTGTGTTACTTTTACTTTTACTAAAGTAAATATTTATCTGATTATTTGTACTTTTACTTAAAGGATTAGTTCACTTTTGAAAAAACTTTTGCTGATAATTTACTCACCCCCATGTCATCCAAGATGTCCATGTCTTTCTTTCCTCAGTCGAAAAGAAATTTAGGTTTTTGATGAAAACATTCCAGGATTTTTCTCCTTATAATGGACTTCAATGGGAACCGGATGGTTCAAGGTCCAAAAGACAGTTAATAACTGTTTCAGATGCAGCTTCAAATGTCTTTAAACGACACCAGACGATGAATAAGGGTCTTATCATGCGAAACGATCGGTTATTTCAAAACTTATTCCAAACATGTAACTTTTCTAAGGACAAATGCTAGCCTTGCTCTATTCTGTGAGGCGCGTTTGCAACGTCACGTATTACGTAATTACGTTCAAAAGGTCACGGGCGACGTAGCCGAAAGTACAGAGTCAGTGTTTACAAGTTAAACGCATAGGTTGAACGTGCAAACTAGCTCAAACACCGTTTACAAAAAAAGGAATTAAAAGGTAAAACAACGATGTCGGACGATTTTGATTCTGTACTTCCGGCTACGTCGCCCGTGACCTTTTGAACGTAATTACGTATTACGTGACGTTACAAACGCGCCTCAGAGAATATAGCAAGGCTAGCATTTGTCCTTAGAAAAGTTACATTTTTGGAATAAGTTTTGAAATAACCGATCGTTTCGCATGATAAGACCCTTATTCATCGTCTGGTGTCGTTTAAAGACATTTGAAGCTGCATCTGAAACTGTTATTAACACTATCTTTTGGACCTTGAACCATCCGGTTCCCACTGAAGTCCATTATATGGAGAAAAATCCTGGAATGTTTTCATCAAAAACCTAAATTTATTTTCGACTGAGGAAAGAAAGACATGGACATCTTGGATGACATGCGGGTGAGTAAATTTTCAGCAAAAGTTTTTTCAAAAGTGAACTAATCCTTTAAGTACTGAGAGTCAGTACTTCCTCCACCACTGCTGGGTTTTATAAAGGGAATTCTGCACAGGTTCTGGCATACACAGGGTTTTATAAATCTGAAACAAAAAACTTTTGTGTATACGCAACATCTAGATTTTGTGTCTACGCACACTTTTAGGATGACATCTATGTAAAATGTTATAATTAGGCCCCTGGAGGAAGATAACGAGATATTGGAAAAGAGTACTGTATTTGAGATTTATTTGGGTTGCTGACAAAATGGCAAATCTGTTAACATAAGCTGGCATGGCATGCTATTAGTCACCTTTTTTTTTAAACACTATTAGATCGAAAAAGTCGTAGTGCTGGCCAACCTTCAAACATCCAATAGTGCTTTTCTTTTGTTTAAACCTATTAAGCTCTGAACTTTTTTTATTACCACAAAAAATAAAGGTAAATTGTAGCACACTGAGAATGGACAGCCCGTTCTCATCCTTTAACGTCATATAGAACGCTATATGCAAAAAGGGAGCTATACTACGCACATGGCACCCGTTATCGTTAATATAACACGCGAACCCAAGACGTTATAAATCCTTTAGCGTGAATATGACACGCACACCCTACCCCACACCTAAACTTAGCCCTCACAGCACGTCTTATATTAACGATAACAGGTGCCATGTGCGTAGTATAGCGCCGTTTTGTCATATAGCGTTCTATATGACGTTAAAGGATGAGAATGCGTTGGAATGGACATAATAAACAACAATCAAATAAATATGAAAATCAGATATACTGCAGTGTAGGACATAATGTAATTTGGATTTTAAGAGATGTGCGTGAACTACTGAGCCCTGCTAAATGTTATCTTTTCATCCCAAGGGATACACATTGACACCACACTGGTTTTACCAACTTCCCCAAGCAGCATGTCTACAATTAAACTTCACTGCTAATCAATAGAAGAAAAAAATCAATCATGTGCACTTCAAGGCCAGTGAGACACAATGCCTTCTATTTTAGTACCTCGTTTTAACAGGATGTGTTAGTCTTTCTAAGTGAATAAACAGTGCAATGCCCCTTGTTCTTGTGCATGCAGCTTAAGGCTGGAATACTCTACACAACTTTTAAAATCAGAACAGATCTGGACAGAAGGTCAGACCACATACACTTGCTGACTTTGTAAATGGTTACAGAGATAAACTAAATACTCTACATGACAGAGGATCACACACTACCAGTCATTATGAAAAATAAATAACGCAGAAACATGCACTTAGTTTATAAGAGATGCATGGAAAAACAATGTGTTCTAAATATCCAGCTCAAAATATCAATATGTCAGATATCCTCTGATGGATGGAATGAAAATCTGAAGCTAAAAAAGACTACGGCCCAGAATCATCATACTGACTCATCCAGACTCTATCACTCATCCTGTATCAGGGTAAACACCAGGGCAAAGGTTGCATAGTGTATTCCATCCTTTATATTTCAGAGGCCTTTTAAATTTAAAATCAAAATGCGAAAGACAATACAAGGTTAAAGTAGCAGACAAAATAACTTACCGGTCGTTTCAACAATTCCCTCCAAAATCACAACTATTTCGAACTGTTCCATCTGCATGGATCGCTGCGAGAGCTCATAGAAGGGGCTCTTGGTGTCGATCACATGACAGATTGTGAGTGGTGACACGAGAAAGAGTTGGTCCGCTCCGGTGCTAAAGCCCACATCCAGCTCCAGCTGATCCAGGGGGAGGAACTCGCCCTCGGGCGTCTGTCGAGACTGCAGGAGCGACAAGAAGGGAGACGGGGCGTAAACATCGCTTTACACACTGTACGGTGAAGTGAGCTGTGAGGATAGACAGTCAGTCATCAAAGGAGAGACAGGCAGGAAATCAAATTGAAGTTCAACGTTTACTATAAAGGAACCAATGTTATTTTTTTTATTTTGGTTTTAGTTTTTGAATTCGGGTTGAGTATGCAGCATGTCTGGTTATTATACAAGATTTTGGCCAGTGTATTTAAATATAGGCCTGAATATAAGGCAGCCATACACCATCTGGGTCTAAAGGACACACTATTCTTAAGTTATTTTTTTACACTGCTCTAATTTAAATTAAATTAAATCTTTTTATTATTATTATTATTATTAAATGAGAGGATGTCAAGTTAGTATCACATCCAAGCATTAGCTGAGTCTCTAGATGGACAACAGAGGGCAGAGTAACACTTTCCATTACACTACTCATATTGAACATATTTCAGGTAGATACAGTATAGATACAGGAGTGATATCACTAATAAAGTGTAGCAGCTACAGTATAGAAATAAGCACCGGTCAAAAGTTTGGAATATTTTTTTATGTATAAAAATAAGTCTCTTGTCTTATGCTCACCAAGGCTGCAATTTTTTTGGTTTGCAAATAAATACAATTAAAAAAAAAAAACAATTAAACTAGTACATTAATTGTGAAATATTGTTACAATTTAAAAAAAACTATTTTTTTTATTCGAATATTTGTTTTAAAAAGTCATTTATTTCTGTGATGGTTGTGTGGAAATTTTCAGGTTTGTTTAATGAATATCAAGTTCAAAAGAACAGCATTTATTTGAAATAGAAATATTATGTGACATTTTAAATGTGACATTTTAAATGTCTTTACGGTCACTTTTAACCAATTGAATGTGTCATGGCTAAATAAAAAGTATTATTATTTTTTATTTTTTCATTTTTTAGCTGAACTTTTGAATGGTAGTGTCACAGTTTCCAGTTTCCACTGCAAAAACTGTTTTTTAACATTGATGCTAATGTTTTTTGAGCTGCAAAAATCAGGATATTAGAATGATTTCTGAAGGATCATGGGACACTGAAGCCTGGAGTAATAATGCTGAAAATTCTGATTAGCCAGCAGGAATAAATAACATTTTAAATAAGTTATTTTAAATTCTAAACACATTTCACAATATTTCTGGGGCTTTTTTTTACTGTATTTTTGATCAAATAAATGCAGCCTTTATGAACATAAGAGACTTCTTATATAACATTCAATTTTAAACATTTTTATAATTCCAAACTATGAAATATATGCCTACACACATACTAATATAAATAAGTATTGTATAGAATCGTTTTCTCTACAGTGTCCATAGACCTATTAGACAGAGATAGTTGAAACAGTTTAAAGGGATACTCCACTCTTTTTGGACATAGGCTCATTTTACAACTCCCCCAGAGTTAATCAGTTGGGTTTTACCGTTTTTGAATAAATTCAGCTGATTTTCTGATATTTAGAAGAATATCTGCAACCAGACCGTTTCTGGTCTCATGACTACCATATATATTTTTTTTCCTACTATGAAAGTCAATGAGACCAGAAACGGTCTGGTTACTGACATTCTTCTAAATATCAGAAAATCGGCTGAATTGATTAAAAAACGGTAAAACACAACTGTTTAACTCTGAGGGAGTTGTAAAATGAGCCTATTTCCAAAAAAAGTGGAGTATTCCTTTAAATGCGGCTTCACAAAATTAGTAGGCAACACATTACTGTATTTACATGCTGTGTTATTTACATTCAGTGCTTACATGTCTAATTTTACAAGTTAACAATTTCTAAAATATGGCAAAGGGCAGGCTATTACCTTGAGTATTTTGCATCGGATCTGTGCTGAAACCATGTGACTATTGCGCAGATTTCCCACCCTGAACATCAGCGTGAGTTTGCCGTCACGCATGGAGATGACTGCGTTTTCACTAAACATCAGAGTCTCTGCCCTCTTCTTCGGTTGAGACATCTTAATAAACATACAGCCTATTAAAAAGGCATCCACTATGGAGCCCAGGATAGACTGAAATAGGAAGAGAATGATTCCTTCTGGACATTTATCGGTGATGTATCTGTGGCCGTATCCTATAGTGGCCTCTGTCTCAATGAAGAAGAGGAAAGCAGAGGGAAAGTTATAGACGTTGGCCACGCATGGCGTGTACTTCTCATCGTGGACTCGGTACAGGTCCCCTCTGATGTATGCAATGATCCACCACATCGAAGCCATGAATAACCAGGCCACTGTGTATGTGAGGATGAAGATGAAGAGGTTCCATCGCCATTTGAGGTCTACTAAAGTTGTGAATAAGTCTGAAAGATATCTGCTGTTCTCTCCACCCAGGTTTCCATGCTGAACGTTGCATCGTCCATTCTTGTCCACGAATCGCTGTCGTTTCCTCCTCTTGTCCTTCTGATGGCTGGAGGATTGGGTGGTCACTACCTCATAGTCGCTTCCAAATTTCTTACGAAGTGCAGACATTTTATCCTGCAGAGACAGCAGTAAAAATATCTTGACTGTCTGATATTTTAGCAGTGTATTAGACCTGTCATGACCTTTCAGTGAATAAAATGTTATGAGTAAAACCAAAATAGAAGAGACTGAAAGTTAGTTGACACTTGGTCTTTATCTCTTACCGTACAAGCTTTTGTGTCAGAAGTCAAATTACTGAAAGGCTGATTTGTCAGGTCGGGGAAAGTTTTCATGTGTGTTTTATTGTAAATGTTTTCAGTTGATTTATTGCATTTTCACTGGAACAGTGGTTTTATAGGTTACAGTTTATTTTAAGATCTGTCACAGTGTAATTACATGGATACGTAGGGTCCGACAGGGCTAAAATGCTTCTTTGATTCAATTTTCCTCTATATGGAACAAAAACGTGTCATGGAAATTTGGCTGATCCTTGACATATTAATATGGTAATATTTGATGTTAGCAGCAAATGAGAATCGTTAAAATTATTGAATATTTTGAGACAAAGGTCTTCTTAATGATTTTCAGTTTTGTTCGAGGTAATTAAAGCAATAGATTTCAATAACGGAAGAATGTGTAAAAGTTTGGTATTTGGGGTAAAAGGCACCCCAGTTGACATGGTTAAATTGAGATAGTATAGTAGTATCATATATTAAATTGGGTGTCCTCCTTAATCACCATAATTATAGTCAAACCATCGTATTTAAAAATATCACATAATAAAATATGATTTAATGTTACTCTAAATCTATCCCGTTAAAATAGGATCTCATTCAATGCTTTTCTTTACTTTTAAAATAATTTTATGTATTTTTAAAATATATTTTTACATTAACATTGAACAAAAATGTAGCTAATTATTTTATTAACAAAATAAATAGAAAATAGAGTGCAAACTTTGCTAGAGTGGTTATTTTGAACACTAACTTAGACATTATTAAACATATCATTTTAGCTTACATCTTTGTATAAATAATGTGTGCCTTTTGCCCCCCTCAGCACCTCATACGTCATTTATACCATTTTTATACAAAATAAAACACTTTCATGATTTATTTTCAGACAAAATATGTTGCTCCATTAATGTTCAATACAAACATATATTTTTCTGCCAATAATACTCTATGGGAATACTGAAAATTGATTTTTTTTTTCTTTAGCCCCGTTGGAGCCTACTAAGTAATATTAAAAAACAACAACATGGGTACTACTATACTACTATAGTTTTAGGGTTGGGGTTTGTTTAAGATGACTTGCTTATAATTATGCATAATTTACTCACTGTTGTTATTACTATAGCAAACTTGAACAAGTAATACAGCAAAATAAATAAATAAATAGCCTGTAATATTATAGAAACATTTTGTGGAAGATAGCTTTTGTACTTTAGACATAAGGAAATTAAATTATGGACAGCAGATTCCTTGGTTATATCTATAATAGTGAATAGCTCCCTTGGCGGTGGAAATGTTCAATTCAAAAAACATAAACATTGACTTTAAAAACCTGAAAAATAGTCGGGGGAAATTAAAACGATAGACCTGGTCTAATGTACATTTGAAAAAAATGAAAGAAAAGACAATCGTCTTACCTATATTTCACCATACAGTGATTTCTCCTCTCTTCACATTACCTGCGTGTCATCTCAGTTTAAAGCGTAGTTTAAAGGGAAGCAGTCGTTTGCTTATTTACGGAAAAAGGAGTAAAGAGACATGTTCCTTCGTTGAAGATGAAAGCAGGAAACTCTCCACAGGCGCTGTCTAGCGGCTCGAGTCCTGAAACACTTAGTCTGTCTTCACTCATCTGTTCATTTGAGTTTCGCAAAACGGAAGCTCAGAGTTCTGGATGAATTTCGTCAGTCCGATCACAGATTAGCGCATCCGTCTGTCCAGCGATTTGCCCAACAATTAATGGATATAAAAAATAATAATAATAATAATTGTCTAGATGCGTTTCACCATCTGGCTGGATTTTCTCCACCTCTGTATGTTCACCAGAAGAACATTTGCAACTTAATCAGATTATGTTGCTCAGAGTCTGTGTGGTGAACCCAAACTGACGGGCGCGCCTCGGACAGACAGATTTACAATATGTTTTGCTCGCGAACCCAAAGCTCTGTTGTTCCTGTGTTATCTAGTTCGTTGCAAGAGAATGCAATAAAATAGCCGAAATGGTTGCAGGGACGGCCAGGGTGTCCTCCAGACCCCCAACGCGAGTGTGTGAGGCTGCTCTTTGTCTCTTCAGTTCCCCTGTACTGAGCGTTTCTCTCACAGCGTCCGAAGCTCCTCGCAGCATACAGAGGTGTGTGTTATTATTCAGCAGGGGAGGGCGGAACCACACAATGGCAATTCGCGTTTATTGGCTAAGGAAGTTATAAATACTAGGAATTTGGCTTTAGTTATTCATGATCGTGCAAACAATCACTATACCATACACATGCCAGTATTCATGCACAGCAAATATGCAATACACTATAATAGGAATGTCTGGTGTAAAGCAGAGGTCATCAACCTTTTAAAGACCAAGATCCCTGACCTCGGCTTTAATGAAAGGCGAGATCAATCTATGAAAGAGTTAAGGTTCAGGTTCAGGTTCAGGTTTATTGATATAGCCCATTTCATACTCAGGGAGCCCAACTTTACATAATAACAGAGAAAAAATGTATATAGGCTACATCAATCAATTCAAGTAATTACATAAAATAAAAACGTGAGAAGGAACATAACTGTACACACACACACACAAAGGAAGGGTCAATAGAAGGCATCGTAGAAGAGTTTTGTTTTTAAATCTGGGTATAAAAATAGAGATAGTGAGGTCTTAATGTCTAAGACGGTTCCAAAGACGGACCGCATAGCAGCTAAAGGCTGCCTCTCCCTGCTTGGTATGAGCGCTGGATTGTACCAGTTGGAGTTTTCCAGCAGATCTAAGTGATCTTGAGGGGTTATATGTTTCAAGCATCTCTGCTTAGAGAGGTTCTTGACCATTTAGTGATTTAAAAACAAGAAAAAGAACTTTAAAATCAATTCTATTAATCACTGGTAATCAGTGTAGAGATTTTAAAATTGGTGAGATATGATCTTTTCTTTTGGTCCTGGTCAGTATAGCTTTCTGGTGCATTTTGGATTATATGAAGAGGTTTTATTGTTTTTTTAGGGAGACCAGTGAAAAGACCATTACAATAGTCCACCCTACTGGAGATGAAAGCATGAATACACTTTTCTAAGTCTATATGAAGTTTTTAACCTTTGCAATGTTTTTTTAAGTGATGAAAATACAAATTTGTGACTGCCTTAATGTGGCAGTCAAAATACCTCAAAACCTTTCATTCCCAATAGTGGAGGCAGTCTTTAGTCTCTGATCCTTTTTCCCAAAGATAATTACTTCAGTTTTGCCTGTGTTTAATTTAAGAAAATTTTTTGACATCCAGTCTTGAACTTGATTAAAACAAAGATAAAGATATTCAAGGGGAGCAAACTCGTTGGGAGAACTGTGTGTCATCTGCGTAGCTATGGTAACTAATAGAATATTTTTTTTAATAATTTGGCCAAGTGGGGATATGTACAAATTAAACAAAAGAGGGCCAAGGATTGAACCCTGAGGGACACCACATGTTAAGGACATGTGTTGTCCCTCGGGGTGAGGGACACCACCCTGAGGGACGTTTATTTATTTAAGTGAAATAAATAAATAAAACAGCCCAGATTGTACTTATTTAGGCTAATTGAGTTTGAATTTCAGATTTATTATTATTTTATTTATTTATTTATTTATTTATTTTTTCAAATTGATGCAACCAAGAAAACACTTGTAGTGAGCAGATCATATGAAGTGCCACTGTTCACTTTTATGCTTATCCACTGAAGCTTCTGAAAAAATTTTGAACAAAATTCTAAATACAGTTCTATGTGTCATCCCATCTTATGCACCATTGTTTGTAAAACTACTATAAATTATGAAACTACCTTAACTTAAACAATTGAGTAGCTTATTAAAAAAAAGTATAGTGCACTCTAAAAATAGAGTACTAATATGTATGTCTTCACTTTGTAATTTTCAAACGTTAAACATTTCAAGTTTTTATTTTTTTGTCGGTTTTCCGGCATGTAGGCCTAGGCCTTCATATTTCAGAGTGAAGCAAGCTTGTAACTCATAACTAGGTGTTTCAGCGCCTTATCCTCGATGCACAGTAAATTAAACAAATATAGTCAAGCATAATGTAAGCTTGTATTTATTTTTTTCTATTTTCGGGAGCTCAGATCTAGGCTATACTCGATCACAACCGATGGTTGGGGGTCAGCTGTAAACATATATAAACAGTAATCATTAACTTAGTTGACATGAATTCAGAAGAATTCTTAATACAAGTACTCAAAAACTGAACTAGGGAGGTTGTGCTCTTTACATAATATATGTATATATGAAGAGTTCAGATGCAAAAGCCTCTAAGTGCCATTTGAAATTTTCTTCTAGAATGATAATTTTTATCAAGCTTGTATATTTAAGTTCAGTGATTTCACTTAAATGGCAATGATAATTACCTATTAATTGTTATTTAAGTGAAATTACTGAACTTAAATATACAAGTTTGATAAAAATCATCATTAAAGAAGAAAATTTAAAATGGCATTTAGAGGGTTTTGCATCTGAACTCCTCATATTTTCTATTATTGGTGTATGTAATTGTGTCTCAACTTAACAGTACAAAATCCTAATGTGTTGTCTAAACACAAACCATTTATGTCAAGTAAAAAAATGTGTACCATCCAGAGGGTGGCAGTATAGTGCGAGCCGACTGCCATTTTGCCCAAACTTAATTTTATTGTGTTCAATCTGCTTAAATCTACGAACAACTTAAGTTTACTTAATCCGTTTGTGTTGAATTACATGATTGATTTGTGTTGCCTTAACTGAAACTGGGCAGTGCTTTTAGTTCCCAGCATGCTTTGCGTATGGTTGAATTAAGAGAGAATAAAATGTTAAAATTAAGTGTTATTTTATGTTTTGTTTTGTTTTTTTGAGAAATTTAGAAAAGGGGAAGACTTGATAGTGTGTAATAGTGTTTAATGTTAAATTACAGTGGAATTATTAAACCATTTAAATTACAGTGGGTTACCATTGTGGAGAAGAGTGGAGCATTTTGTTGTTTGGCTGTCGACTGATTTCATTATTTTCAATTGCTTTGAATGAAGGAGCATGTAAATCTTAGCATTCAAGATGCTATTATGTACTTCTGTTAGCAAATAGCTAGCTAAAGTCTATCAATTTAATTAAATGTCACTGAATCAAATAAAATATAAATGGATGAATGAATATAATAAAATGTCTTTGAATCATGTCAGGTAGCCTTTAAAAATTCACGTTGAGACTACTTAAATTGGGTAATTTAAAATTACATAATTCCATTATGTTGAAGTTACATGAACAAATTATGTTTGTTTAACGTAATCCAGTTATGTGGAACCTGTTGACAAATTAAAATGAATTAAAGCCAACATATATATTTTTTTGATGTATACACCCTTTAAAGTAAAGGTTCTATTGGTATCTATGGGTATCTACGTCCATCCTTAACGTCCATGGCACGTTTTCATTGGACAAAGGGTACTTTATAGCAGAAAAAGATTTTTCTGATTATTAAACTCTTTTATGTTGAAAACTGGAGTTATCCAAATGCAGATGCATTTGAGTCTTCACATCCATTGTACATGTCTCAATCGTGCAGCAATGGTACAGAATAAATGAAGGCTACACACACACACACATTTATGGACTACTCCAAATGTAACTCAACATAAGGGATGTTTTTATCCTCTTTGCATTCAGCATGTTCACCTAAGCAAATTATGGTTTCTGGTTACACAACAAGTCAAACACACTAATGCTGAAAACCTTTGAGTCAAGCAACATCAGAGATAAAGCATGATTTATGTTATAGTCTTTTGTCAGAGTGCTATAATCTTTCTTTTATCAAGATCAAACATCTTGTTCTTTGTGTGTGTGCGTGTGTGTGTGTCTATTTATAGCTTGTGTGGATGCCAAATGTAATTTACCCATCAAAGGAGAGCGATGACCAGCCACCTGCCTGACATATCGCTGTAGTCTACCTGCCTAATTTGATTTGTGTTGACAGTCTGATTTACTGAGGCCTTTTGAGGATGTAGATTTAGACACGTTGAAGAATCTCAATACTTTCTGTAAACAGAAAAGCTCTTTAGATTACGCCTAGCCTAAGTGAGGCAGTCAGCTGAAATCATCTTTTCTATCATAGAGTCGTATGATAGAAAAGTTATTATAGAGTCTATAGTTACACTCTTTTTTATACATTGTATATTATATATATATATATATATATATATATACAATGTATAAAAAAGTGTGTAACTATAGACTCTATAATATATATATATATATATATATATATATATATAGTTTTGTTTTTATTTTGTGTGTGTGTTTCTAGGTAAACCCTAGTTATAAGGACAAAATGTCCCCACAAGGATTAAGATATCAGAAATTGCAATCTTTGTGGGGACATTTTGTCCTCATAACGTATACCCAATAAGGAAAACAGCTAATTAAATCTATATTTATGAGCTTATAAATAAAGATTAAATTATGTTTTTTGAGGGTTTCTAGGTTATGGGGATATAATATACAGTTTGTAGAGTATAACCATTATCATGTCTATGGAAAGTCCCCATAAAACACGAAAACGCAACCCGTGTGTGTGCATGCGTGTGTGCGTGTGTGTGTCTGTGTGTGTGTGTGCATGTATATACTATGTGTCACAAATCAAGAGAAATTTTCCATTCCACTACACCTGGAAAAATGAGCAGCAGCTCTTCCCATCATTCAAGCACAAATAGATTATTGATCCATGCTTGTTAAAGCAAGACACAATAACCACTGAAACTGCCTCAGAAGTATAGCTGTACTGGAAGTATAGTAATAGCAATATATAAAACGAATGCTGTCTTTACATCAAAGAGCTCAAAAAAAAAAATTCTGATTCATCTGCCTTTCTCTTTTTTTTTTTTCATTTTAGATAGAGACAGACTTAGCTTCATTGACATGATGCATATTGTGCCACTGGAAAGTTGTCACAAGGGTTATATCCCAATACCTGGAATGTTTTGAGTAACATCTTACACACTATAAAAGAAAAGAAACAAGATTATGTTTTTAAGGTAAATCTCTTTGCTGGCTGTGCATTTCTTTCTCTCTCACCAAAAAACAAAAAACAAACCAATGATCTCTTTGTCTCATTGCGCAACCTGATCTGCACTTTCCCTATA